GAAAAGAGTGGAGCCCCAGAGCTCACGGGGGAGGATGAGGAGACAGGATTCAGGTCCACATCCCAGTGGGCCCACACCCCACACCTTGTTTCCACACTCTGGAACCTCTCCCCACAGGGGCAGAGACAAGGGGGACCCAGGCGAGGGCATGTGTTCTGGCGGGAGGGGCACGGAAGCACATGCCAGAGGAGCGGGATGCTGGCTGAGGGACAAAGTGAACAGGGCCCTTTGGGCAGAGCCCCAGCTGGCCCTCCCCCTACAGTGAAAGGCGGTGACCCCTGGGCCCTGGGCCCATCCCTGGGCATCTCCGTGTTGCCACTGAAGAGCCGTTTGTACCGGAAGATGCTGACAGGGAGAGACCTGAATGGGCTACGTGTGGAGCGACTGCCGATCGCCGTGAGTCCCCTGCCCAGACCCTGCTGCACCCCCACAGGCGGCTCCGGCTTCCCCAGCCTCAGGGGAGCCGGCCACAGCAGGTGTGAGCAGCTCCCTGAGCGCCGAACCCAGGCCACCTCTGGTGTGGTGATGAACCAGGACAGAGAACTGGTCCCATGCCACCAGGGTGAAGCTCAGGGAGGTCCCGCGGGACATGGCTAAAGGGCAGGCTTTTAGCAAGCCAGACTTGGTTCAAATCCTGTCGCCCCATCCTCCCTGTGGAACCCGGGGCAAGTTCCTTAACCTCTCTGAACACGAGTCCTCCTCTCTAAAGTGGGAACACATCCGGCTAGCCGTCTCTGTAAGGCAAGAGTTAGGAGCTCAGCTCTAGAGCCAGACACTCTGGTTCTGCCACTCGCAAGCTCACGAGATCACGGCAAGTTCAAGTCTCAAAGTCTCCGTTTCCCTGTCTATAGAATGGTGCCTCATGCTTTTCTCACAGGGCTGCTGGGAGAACTTGCCAGGAAATTACTTAAAACAAGTTCTTAGTAAGAATGAATATCCTTATTTTCATCGTCATCTATTTTATGCAACCTTTTCCCTGGAAATCTTCCGGCCAGGGACCAGCAGATGGTTGCGCCACTGGACTCCCATGTTTGAGTTCCAAACACAGCAGCTTAAAACTCATGCTGGGCACGTGTGTGTGCATGCCCAAAATCCCAAAGGAGAATGGAGAAGGGATTGCGGCAGGGCCGTCACCCCTGAGGGGTGATGTCTCACTTTCTGTCTCTCCCACAAGCACACGCACCCTACAGCAAAAATCTCTGAAAAAAAATCTTCCTGCCATCCTAACCTAGCAGACCTCAATGGATGAAGCTTCCTCTCTGCTAGGGCATGAGCCTGGACATGCCAGTCGGGTCCCGTGAAGCTAAGAAGCGTGGTGTGGAAGCAGCACGGGGGGCAGGGACAGAAGGCCAGCCAGTCCCCATCTCTCCCCCTCCTGGGCACAGCCCAGACAGACACCTTCCCAGGGCATCGGGGCAGCGTGGGGAGCGGAGGCCAAGGTGGCCCTGCCCAGGATGTCTGAAGGCCCCTTCTCCTCCCCAGAACACCAGCCTGAAAACTGTAAGCGGTGAGGCCCCCACGGTGGATCTGTCCTTCCAACTCCTTTCCTCTGAGGTACGCGTGGGGCGAGGGAAGGGCAGAGCTGGAGGGCAGAGCTGGCAGACATGTGAGGCCCCACCTCCCCACAATCTCCTGCCTACTTCAAAGCCAGGGCCGGGGCCGTTGGGAAGGACAGAAATGTCTGAGGGTGATTCTGGCCCTCTGCAACAGCAGAGAGAAAGCGGAGAGTAGGAAGAAGGCAGTTGAGCAGAGGGCCACTTAGACCGCGGAGTCAGCCTCTGACCCGCCCAAGCCGAGCCTGGCTGACGGAGATCATTCTTCAGGGGGCGGTGAGGACACCAGCTTTCTGCTGCAGCATGACCCTCGCAGCTGCGAACAGTCCCCGCTGACTGGGGCACGGGTTGTAGGAAGGTAGGCCCACACAGCCAGCGGGCTAAAATCAGGATGCCGCGGGAAGGGTCATGCTTCTTTCTGGAGACCAGGGAAGAACCTGCTTCCAGACTCTGCGGTGGCTGGCACGATCCAGTTCCCTGAAGTGTAGACTGAGGCCCCAGGTTCCTGGCTGGCTCTGAGCTCCTGAGGCCACCCACATACCCTCTCACAAAGGCCTCCTCCACCTCCTCGAAGGTAGCAGACATGCCCAGAGCTTGGCTTCTCCTGTCGTCAGCCCTTCACTAGGGCTGGTGAGGGAGGGCAGGCCCTGATGCGCCCGTCTTAAGGTGAGCCGTGCTGGGACGTACCGCAATCCCAGGCTCCGTGTCTCACCGTATTCCGGCTCCAAGGATTAGAGCTGCAATCGTGGGGGCTCGTTTTCAGATTCTGCCTCCCCCCGCGGAGTTGGCCTGGAGGGAAAGATACCAGCATGGAGCCCTGGCTCATGGCTGGGCCTCGAGTACCCAGCCAGCCACCCCTGGGCCCTGGTCCAGCTGGGACTCCGGCCATGAAGCTCCAGTGCCCCTGGCAGGCATCTGCTGGAACTGTCCTGCCGTCCTCTGACCATGACTCAGGGAGTGCTTGCAGGGCCTGATGTCCGGGCCAGCCCACTCCCTCCAGCTTCCCACAGCAAGAAAAATACCCACAGGGTCTGAGAATCCTTGGGCTGTGGTCTTACCCATGAAGACACAGGGCAGCCTACTGCAGGGACCACATGGGGTGCCTTGCCGTGTCTCCCCATAAGGCCTCTGCTGAGTGCCAGGGCCCTCATTAGCACCCCTGCTGTGGCCTCTGGGTGGGAGAGAGTTTGCTAGATGCCCCAACAGCCTCCCCTCCATCACCAGGTGCAGGGACAAGAAAGCTTGAAAGCGGAAGTCACTGAAAAGCCAAAGGCCCCAAGAAAGGGGCCCCAGGGTCTTAAGATGTGCCAAGTTTCCCAGAGGGAGCCCATCTTCCAGGGCCTCTTCCCAGGGTCCAGTGTCTGCCAGCCCCTCCTCGCCTCCCTCTGCCTCCTGCCCCTCCACCAGGGCACACACGGTCTGGGGCTAAAAGGAGCGTCAGGTGCCCCTGGTTGAGGGCCTGGGGGGCCGGGCAGGCAACAGGCAGGACACTTCCCCAATTGCCCGGGGGCTGGACACAAAGGTCTCTGGTGATGAATTATTCACCGGAGCTGTGCTAAGTGCAGAATTAATCCCTTTCCTTCCAGCTGGCGGCCTCGCTAAATTATCCCTCCAAGTCATGCGGGAAAATGCTGCCGAATTCATTTAGCTGCTGAGTGTTTTGATCTGGGCCTCGTGATTTCAGCTTCCCCTTCCCCCCAGCCCCCTCCCCCTGGAGGCGGGTAAAAAACCTTTTAGTAATGGATTTGCAAGAAGAAAGGAAAAGAAAGGGGATCCAGATTGGGCGTGGACCAGGAAATAGTACTAGCAGAAATTCAGGTTGTGTGGCCAAGAATCCGTAGGTGGATTCTACACACGCGCTTGTGCAATCCCTCTGAATACCCACACACGGTCGCACGCAGACATGCACACACCTTTGCGAGGGTGCATACATTCAATGCATGTGTCCGTGCCCACATACCTGCAAGCCGACACACAGGCGTTTGCATGCCCACATCGCCACACACAAGCAAAATGTGGGACTTAACTGCTCCTTGGCTCAACTGTCTGCGAGCTGGCCAGGACCTGGCGCGCTCTGAGTCTAGGACCGCCAAGGCTCAGGTAGGGGCCCGAGGGTGACGCAGGGCTGTGGGGGCCACCGTAAGGCTCCCGTGGCCCCAGCAGTCATCCTTTCTTCCACACACAGCTGAACAGGAGACACTGTGTGCCGGGAACTGTGCAGGTGAGACCTAGACTGTCGGTGGCCTGTGCAGTGAACCAGGGCGAAAGCGGGCAGCCACCCTGTGCCCAGAGTTTACCCTCATCAGTCTTCGGCCGCGGCTCTGAGCAGCCCCTGAACCCTCTGGGATCCTTCTCCCTACAAGCTGGGGGTAGTGGAGCACTGACAGCTGGTCAGATGGCCCAGCTAGGCTCAAGGTGGCCACCCCATCTCCACGCCTCACCAACACTTCCCTCCACTACCACAGAGTCCTCCCGGCAACAGCAGGTGTTTCGGAGCCCACTAGGCAGCAGGTACTGCTCTGGGCTTTAAGGAGATTACAGTGAGAAAAACCAAAAATGAGGCCTCTTTCCACAAAGCTTGCATTCTTAGAGAGCGGAACTGTGACCAGTAAACCCATAAGCAGGTACCGACTCGTGGTCACTGGCCTGATGAGCTGAAAGAGGGTGGCAGGACAGGTGTCAAGCAGAGGCCGCTGAGAATCACACGGCATCTGAATAAGGCTGAGCCCTGCCGTTGAACAAGGGAGCCAGGGCCCCGCAGCTTGTCAGTCGGCCTGCCAGTGGGAGGGACCTGGGTCCATCTGCAATGGCAGCCCCTGGGCAAGTGGGAAAGCTAGGACCAGGCTCTGCCTTCTCACTGCCTGAGCCCGGGAGCAGCACCTGACACCTGCGGTTCTGAGTCCTATGGGCATTCAGGCTGCAGAGGACTCGTTGTAGCGGACTTCTCGCCCCAGTCCACATGGCCCGTGACTCCACCTTAGGGGCACCTCTTTGCACACGATCGGACGTGTTCCTGTGAGCCTCCACATCCAGGAGGTCCCAGTGCAGGCCGTCCTGACCCATCAGATATTTTGGAGAGCACAGTTTTCCCACACCCACCACCCCCATGCTGCCCACCCTCAGAATAAGACTGTGGTGGGACCTCCAAGGAGGCAGACACTGTGGAGGGCTCTCCATAGCCCACTGGCACAGGGCTATCCTGGCCGCCCCCCCTGCTCTGCCATGGCAGGAGGCTCAGCGCCTCCGGGAGCAGCCGGCGTGCCCCAACCCACCTGCTGGTAGGCTCCACCCAGGCTCCAGGCTCTGCAGCACACCCCAGCGAGGCACGTTTTCAGGCAGGTAGCAAAGCCCGCGTGCGCTCTCAGCGAGCGGCCGGCATGGGCAACTGTTTTGGATGTTGTGCTGAAGGCAGTTTGTCAGTGACGAGTTCATTGTTACCCTCTGGCGGGACTTCATTATGGACATTTGCTGCTTTGCGTTCTCTGCCTTAAGCTGGATTCGCACGTGTGGTGCAGGGGAGTGCTCATGCAGGTGCACACAGGTGCATAAGAGCAGCATGCACCCTGCACAGCACAGGTCTTCTCCGTGGTGCGGAGCAAGGGGGACCGCCTTTGAGGTCCGCCAGGCGGTGAGAATCAAGCCTGTGGCTCCCGCACCTACCCCCGCACGGGCAA